CGGTGGATTACCTTTTGAACTTCCACATCACCAGATTATTTCAGTTTAGTTGTTTATAAAACAACCCACAGTACTTCCTAGTCGGTCACAGCCCTGGCCTCACCAGCAGAGCCCTATCATTTTACCAACCGCACAGGGCTGAACAACATCAAGGAGCCTGATATGAATCGGACTTTTTCTTGTGGTTCTTTTCCTGTACGCTTATGCACACTCAAATTCATGGACACACTTCCAAAAGATCCTTAAACCAGTATTTGAGGGAATACCTGCCCAATTTTACTAGCGCCATCTATGCTTCCATTCAGAACTGGTAGCTTACATATTGGACTGACTGCTAACTGAAAAAGTAGCCACTTCTAGGGAGAAATATTAAAGTGTCTGCTTTGGTTAAGATTTACAGCCTCAGAAGTCTGATGTCATCATAGAAGCTACTCGTTGGCAGTTGGCTTGATTTTTGGGCTTATGCTTCAGGTGAAGGAGCCCTGGAAATATGGTGGTTCCCATCTACTAAGCAGAAGGTTTGGCAGTTCAAGCCCACTCATTAGAATCTTGAGAGACAGACATAGCTGTTTGCAAGAAAACCCTATGGGGCAGTTCTCCCCACACATAGGTCACTTACACATTGGAATTGGCTCAGTGACACTTAGCAGATTCAGCATCATGATTTAGTCAGCAAAAAAAGAAAGACAGCCATAATTTTTGTCCAGGCACAGCCTTTGGGATCTTTCAAAATATTTTTTGGTCTATTTTAATGTCTACTATTACTCATGGCAAATTTACATAAAACATTTATTTGCTCCTTTAAAAATCATATCAGGTGACCCTTCTTTACATAAAAAGATCCCCCACCCTCCCTGCATATTAGAGAGAGCTTTAGTAGTCTAGTGAGTAAAGAATCGCACTGCCAGTCTGTAGGCATATGGTTCAAATCCACCCGCTGCTCCACAGGAGAAAGATGAGCAAGTTCTTCCAATGCTGTTTACAGCTTCCAAAAACCAGCTGGAGGGTCAGCTTTGAGTCAGTTCTGACTCGATGGCAATGAGATAGTAAAAAACAAAAACACACAACAAACTGCTATTGAGATGATTCTGGTAACTTACATATTTAATAAGGTGAAGATATATTAAACTAATACATGCAAAGGCTGTGTGGATCATAACAAACTGTGGCTGACTCTGAGAAGAATGGGAATCCCAGAACACTTGATTGTGGTAATGCAAGACCTATACTTGGACCAGGAGGCAGTCGTCAGAACGGAGTAGGGTAACACTGCATGGTTCAAGTCATCAGAACGGAGCAGGGTAACACTGCATGGTTCAAAATTGTGAAGGTCGTATACCAGGGATGTGTCCTGTCTCCACACCTTTTCAACCTATATGCAGAACAGATTATCCAGGAGGCTGGGCTCTATGAGGAGAAGTGTCGTGTCAGGATTGGTGGAAGATTCATCACCAATTTGCGTTATGCAGATGACACAACCCCGCTTGCTGAAACTGAGGAGGACCTGAAGCACTTGCTGCAGAGGGTCAAGGACTGCAGCCTTCAATATGAATTGAGGCTCAATATCAAGAAGACAAAGATTCTCACCACTGGACCAACTGGCAGCATCAGAATGGACGGTGAAGAGATTGAGATCATTCACAGCTTTAGTTTGCTTGGCTCCATGGTCAACACTCTCGACACCAGTAGCCAGGAAATGCGATGGGAAAGTCTGCTGTTAGGGACCTCTCCAAAGTACTGAAGAGCAATGGTGTCTCTCTGGAGACTAAGGTGCGTTTGATACAGGCCATGGTCTTTGCTATCACTTGTTATGCATCAGAGAGTTGGACAATGACCAAGAAGGATAGAAGGAGAATTGATGCCTTTGAGCTGTGTTGCTGGAGAAGAGTATTGAGAATACCATGGACTGCTAGGAAAGCAAACAGATTCATCCTGGAAAGGGTTAAACCGGGCGGCTCCCTGGAAGCAAGGATTCTGAGGCTCCATCTAACATACTTTGGACATATTGTAAGGAGAGATCGGTCCTTGTTAGAGGGACATCATGCTTGGGAGGGTGGAGGGACAGCCCAGGAGAGGAAGACCCTCTATGAGGTGGATTGATTCAGTCACTAGGGTAATCAAGATGGGCGTATCGGAGACGGTGCGATTGGCACAGGACAGAACAGAGTTTAGGGCTGTTGTACATAGGGTCGCTATGAGTCTCAAGCGACTCGACAGCACATAACAACAATAATATTAAACTCATTGTTATCAAGTAGGAACTGACTCATAGCTAACCCTCTAAAGGATTTTTTTTCAAGGCTGTTAATCGCAGGGAAAGAGATTGTGGATTCAAACTACTACAGAGGCTTAGTCTTTGGATTAGCCACACAACTCCTACAGACTAACTGCAAGATCTCTGCGAAAGAGGTATTTGGGTTTTTTAAAATTGTGATTTTAATGAAAGTTACAGAAGAGTTGAAATTTTTTTTTATTTTCTACTAGTTTATTAACAAAATTAAAATACATTGTTTTTAAGACCAAATTCTTTCCATTTCCCTCACCCCCCACCCCCCATCAAATTGTACAACTCCATGGATAATTCTCCCTCCCCATGCACATCCTCATCTCTCTACTTCCACCCTCTCCCACCCCTCTTGGATTCTTATACTCATCTACAATAATTGTTTTATACAATATTTATCCTTGTGGGACTGAGTTAGTTCACTTAACCTAATGCTCTCTAGTCCCTCCCAAGTTAGGTAATAATTTACAAAATCATTGCTCCTGAGTGATGCGTAATATTCCATTGTGTAATATACCATAATTTCTCAATCCATTCATTTGTGGTTGGACATCTGGGCTGTTTCCATGTTCTTGTGATGGTGAATAATGCTGTACGTTATTGGTGTACAAATCTTCATTTAGGCCCCAGTTCTCATCTTCTCAGGATATATTCCAAACAGTGGAATACCTGGGTCATATGGAATTTCCATGTTCAGCTGTTTGAGGAAGCGCCAAACAGCCCTCCAGAAGGGTTGTACCATTTTACAATCCCATCAACAATGTATAAGAGTTCCAGAAAGGTTGGATTTTTATTTACTCATTGTTGTACATTTAACAGGCTTTGTTGATTTTCTTTCTTCTTAACAGAATTTTATGTGTGAGATGAGGGTTTTTTGATTCTTTGCCTTGAGTTCCATGTTCAATCATTCCTACCCATGGTTACTGTCAGGCCTTGTTGAATACTTATTTGTGTCCTACCTTTGTACAAGTCATACTGCTTTGAGATTTGGGCTTTTAGGAAGATTTCCATGAAAAATTGGCAAATGGTAATTGTACAGGTTCCCTGTATGTCCCGCTGTGTACTGTCTAGACTTGTTACCTCACCCATCAAGCCATTGATGTGTGTTACTGGTGAACCACCCAGGCCTCATTTGCTGACTGAGAGTTTCTCCAAGGTGATCTTTCTTTCTGTCTTCATTGTTACCAAGAGGAGGCCTAATGAAATGCATGCTTGACCTTCTCCTGGTTAAAGGTTTCTTGTCTCTAAGCCCCAGAACATGCAAATCCCAAAGCCTGAAACAAATGTTAATGCTGCCGCATAACTCTAAGGAGAATATGACTGATGTTTTTATGAAGGGTCTTGATTTTAGAACTGACCTCTGCCTGGTTCAGAGTGTTGATGAGCAGCTCTGCCCCTGTGTGTTCTGCACTAAAGGTACTGCAACTCCTTTGTTGCAACGTAGGAAAACTTAGCAAAAGTCACTTTAGCAAAAAAAATTAAATAGAACGCGTGAAACAGTTGCACATATATTTAGAAATTGGAAGTTTTTTTCTACTCAGTAATAGTTGATGAGATTCTTATTTTCACTCAAAAAATAGAACTGAAATGACTATTATGAACTATGTTTAGAAATCACTGGTTTCTTTTCTTATTAATATGCTGGAGGGAAGAAGCTATTTGGAGGAGGCCTGACAGCTCAGTGGTTAAAGTGCTTACCTGCCAACCAAAAGGTCAGAAGTTTGAACCCTTCCAGATGAGCAGGAAGAAGATGTGGGATACTCTGTGGGGCTGTTCTCTGTCCTACAGGGTCACTGTGAGTCAAAATTGACTCAGTAGCATTGGATTTGGTTTGATTTAAAAACTTTTTATGCCGCCCTAGGTATATTCTACTTCTTTGATTCCGTTTTTCTATCTAGTGTCTCAAAGATTTGGGGAGATGAGGTGGGGATTCTGGCAGTCTTTGTATGCCCGTTTTCCCAGGAGTTTCAGTATACATACCCTTAAAGAATTATCTGGGGTTTATAGATCAGAAGGTAACAATTGCTCCATTGATTCTCAGAAGCATAGAATCCTTTAGGCAGAACCCTATTAGGCAGTGCCCATAAAGAAACGAGCAGCTTTTCACTGGTGTACTTGTCAAAGATTACCATCCTTGATAGGACTAAATTTCAAAAGCTGGTAAAGTTAAGAAAAGAATAAGCAAAGTAGCAACAATAGTGCAATGATTGTGGCTTGCTATTGTTTGGCCTTTTTTGGATACCTGGCATCAAAGGACATTTTCTTCTGAAGAATTGGTTTGAGATAGAGCACAGCTAGCTTGTTTTGTGTTGTGTTTAAGTTTCAGGTTACAGAAACAATCACAAATTAATTCCTAGCAAGCAGTGTGACATTGTAGCTGCTCCTTTGAAAAGGGCTTGGATTCTTGTCCAAGTCTGTACTTAAAAGTGCTATTAATCTTAAAATTGCATGCAGTCGTTTCATTTTTTTTACCCCCTTCCCTCCTCCCAAGGGTGATTACTTACCTGTTTGCTGAAAAGGTTGCTGTGGCTTTAAGATCTGAAAGCAGAGCAAGAGATGAATAAAAAGGGGGCTTTCATTGGAAGTGGCCTGCTGCTTCTGCTCTGTGTGGATGCCATTAGAGTGGTTTTTCATGGATTTCTGACTACTTTTCCCTCCCACCTTAAATAAAAGATGTAAATAAATATTTTCTTCCTTTCTTTCTTGCCTATTCCAGACTATGAACCCTCCTCTTCCCCCGCCCCCTCTCCTGGCTGCCACCATTGCTTCCACACCACCAGGTGCAGCTGCATCTGGAATAGGACCGAGACCCACAGCAGGAGCGGCTGACCAGATTGCACATTTACGACCCCAGACTCGCCCCAGTGTGTAAGTGAGGGTGTCATTTATTACTGTTCAAGTGTTCCTTTAAAACTAAGCCCAGATACAGAGCCAAAGAAACACCTTCTGATCAGAGCTGGTGACAGGCTTATGGCCCACCAAGTGGTTTGTGTTCTGCAAACTTCCACCCAGCCATGAATATAATTAGAGGACTGCTGAAACAAAATGCATTTAATACATGAGCTTGCTAGGTAGCCATCCTGCTGAGCAGAGGCCTTTCATAGTGTAGGGAAGCCTAGCTGTTTACTTCTCCACAATATTATATGTGTATAGAACTGCCTCTTTGTGCAACTACTGTTTGAGCTTTCTCCCCCTTCATTTTCATTCCTTGAATTAGGACACTTAAGAATGGGAAAGTATTTCACACAAATCAGATTTGGTTGGACTGTGCATGTGAAAAGCTGTAAGTCTCCAGCAGTTAGTACCCAGAAAAATCTAATTATCCTGTTCAGAGCTTACTAATGGCAGAATAGAGCTACATTTTTGTGAGTCCTTTGTTGTGTGCATTTATCCTTTAACCATTTAGAGCAATACTAATAGGAACTATATGTAGCTTACCATATGTAGATGGGCATGGTCACCTTGCATTGCGGTTTGGATTTGCACTCTCTGTGATCAAGGCCCTCTTTTCCTTTGACTTTTTCCATATGTAGTAGTTTTCCTGACCAAGCACACAAGGCAGGTGCGGCCCCAAGATTCTAGGTTTGGCTTATATGTGGAAGGCAGCATGTTGTACTTCCCAATGGGATTTCATACCATATGTTGTCATCTGGGGCTATTTCCCAAGCCTAACAAGTGCCATTTGAAGAGCTCAGTTTTCCCAGTGGGTCTCTAATCTCCAGCAGCAAGTTAGGCACTCTCAGAAGCTGCATTAATTCTTTCACACCACTTGAGTACCATTTGGAGGTTAGTCACTTTCACACTGGGAGAAATGGCCTCAGTAGTTCTTAATCAGAAAGCATTCTGCCGTTTACATGTAGACAGCAAAGCCTCTTTCAGTAGAGAATTACCAGTGCTGTTTACAGGTTAAATTGTTATACTGTCTACTTTATAAGAAATATTGAAGTATTGTAGTACTATTGTACTACAAAGAAAAAATTGTACGCATCTTGAGGTTTGTCTGTTACTCAAACTGTATTCTTCTCTATTTTAGGTATGTTGCTATATACCCATATACTCCCCGAAAAGAGGATGAGCTGGAGCTGAGAAAAGGGGAGATGTTTTTAGTGTTTGAACGTTGCCAGGATGGTTGGTTCAAAGGGACATCAATGCATACTAGCAAGATAGGGGTTTTCCCTGGCAATTATGTGGCACCAGTCACAAGGTATGGTTTTGAGTAAATGGTGTACTAAATTTTGAACACAGAGACTTTGTTCTTTTGCCTTGTTTTCAGCCTATTGAGATTCCTTCACATGATTGCTTCTGCTACATATCTGCATGTTTTTAAAATCCATTCTCTCTAGTTGATAAAATCCCTTGGAACCTTAAAATTTTTTAGGTAACTTTTCACATGGGTATGTGTGAACTGTGGGGTTTTACTGAAAAATAGTCTGGACTTTAAATTATTCAGGCGATGACGGGTTTGGAAGCAGGAGTGGCATCTACTTCCTAAACAACTGCTTCTGGATGCTCTAAGAACTCTGATAAATGTCAATAGTTGTAGACGGGCTTCAGGCCTTTTGTTCTTAGGGTCGCTGTGAGTCATGCTCGACTCAAAGGCAATCAACAACAATTTATCTATTAGATGATTCAATTACATCTTCCTGCCAGAAAGTAAAGAGCACAGTGTTTAATATAAACAAAAACTATTTTATTAGTTCTTGCATGTTTATATAATGCTTACTGTATGCCAAGAAGGCAGATTCCAAGATATACTGCACATTTTGACTCTTAATGTCAAACAGCTCATTGATGTAGGTGCCCATTTTTAAGAGGTGAAGAAGTGGAGGCGCAGAGACATGAAATAACTTGTCTGAGATCACATCATGGGGAAGTGTTCGTATGCATGTGGTCTGACTCTTTAATTATTCTGTATCACTTGTGGTTAATTTCTAGAGTTCTGGCAATTAATATCTAGAATATAATCAGAAATAAAATTTCTTAAACTATGTCATAGCTCTTACGCAGCTGAGTACAGGTTTGTTTTCCAGGGGACATTTGGCAAGTCTAGAGACATTTTTGGTTATCACACTTTGGTGAGGGAAAACATGTTACAGGCGTTTGGTAGAGGGTGAGGATGCTGGGAGACACCTTACAATGTTTACAGAACAGGCTGCTATAAAAAAAAGAGGCATTGTTTGTCCCCAAATATCAATACTCCTGAGGTTGAGAACCTTCCTATAGGATGATAAGACCTATAAGGTTTAGATATACCAATTGAATTTGTTTCAAGATAAAAAGCACCTTCTGGTGATTGAGGGCCAGTAACCTTGGAAATGGAATGAAGAGACTTATAATGGCATCACCTTCGAGAGATGTGTAATTTTTGAACTGGGCACTCAATAAATGGTTCAGGTTTAGCTGTATTAAATCATTCCTCAAACCCCTTGATTAACAAATGGCTTAATGAACTGACATGTTTGTCAGCTGTTGGCCTTGATTTATGGGCTGGCCAGCCGCCTAATCAAATGAAAATCACAATTGTTGCAGATGGTGACAGAATGTTAGCTTTCATTTGACTTGCAGATTTTTATTCAATATAAACCTTTTCTGTCTGTGTTAAATTCTACATTCAGGAACTATCCTACCCAGAAATTGGCAGATAGACTGCTTTGCTTTAAAAAAAAAATCCCAAGGCAAATAAACCCAAAAAAACCAATAAAAATATGAAGTCAATGAAGGAAAACATATTTATAAAATATAAAAACAAGTTATTGAAAGTCTTATTGCTTCTTTACCTTTGGAGTAATGCATATGTGTAGTAAATTCTCTATTCATCATAGTACAGAATAAGGATGTTCAGGTATATGAAGTATTCTACTTAGTAAAAGGTTACTAAATGTGGAGTTACATTTTTAATTATAACATTAAAAATGCTTTATGCGAAACTATACCAAATATACCAAATATATAACAACATACCAAATATAATTTAATTGAAATCAAACAGTGACTATTTGTTTAACACGTTACCACACACTTTTAAATTGACGACCATGCTTAGAAACACGTTTTTTTCCCTCCCCACTATAGCCGTCATTTGCGGCAACAGGTTTTATGTATACATTTGTAAGGAAACTCTGATGGCTTAGTGATGAGGAGTTGCACTGTCAACCCAAAGACACCCAGTTCATTTTTGCCAGCCACTGTGTAACAGAAACATGAACAGTCTCTTTCCATGAAATTTACTGCCTCTGAAAACCCGCTGGAGAATCAAATGTGAGTCACTTCTGACTCGATGGTACAGAATAACAAAAACAACAACATGCATTGATAACAAAGGAGCCTTAGTGGTCATAATATGTTACCTGTTGAGTTGCTAATGGAAATGTTGGCTGCTCAAAACCACCAACTACTCCACAGATGAAAAATGAGACAATTGGCTCTCATTAACATTCACATTCTGGAAACCCAGTGGAGGATTGCCATGAGTTGGCATTGACTCCATGTATTGGTTTTAGAGTTTTGCTTTGTTTTTTTATGTACTTGTAATGGAGCAAGCCTGGAAGAATAGAAAAGAGCCATCTTCACACTGGTCCTGCCTTCAGTGTACATCTGTTAGTACCAAGGCACATTCTATAATCAAAGGCCAAAATATGAACAATATGTGGAATATATAAATAGAAGGAAGAAATCTACATGACGCAGTAGAAGCATAAGGTCTTCATCCGTAGCTGTAGGGAAAACCAAACCAGTTGTCAGATTTCATTCCAACTCCTGACATTTCCATGTGTTTCCAGAGTAGAGCTGAGCTCCATGGGGTTTTCTTGGCTGTAATGTTTATGGAAACATGTTGTATCTAGCAACTGTTTGGTACATTTGGACTGCCAACCTTTCAGGTAATAGCTAAGAGCAAACCATGTGTGCCACCTGGGGAGCTTTGGCTAAAGCCACCTTGAGTGATAGGATTTGTACTGAACCCTCAAGCATAAATGAGACTGATATAGGTCAAGAAAAGCTAAAAAGGGATATTCTAAAAACATATGTGTATGTGAATATATATGGGACCAAGGAAGAGGAAGAGGAGAAAACACACAAAAGAGCTACAAAAATGTGGTCATTGTAATATAACAAAGTAGTTTCATTAGTGGACGAAGCGAGAGAATCTAGGACATTGAAAGTTGGAGATACTTGACCTTGTTAGGGAAAACCAAACTCAGTAAGTGTATATTCTTGAGCAGAGCATGGTATGAGATTTTGAGTGCCTCAGAAGACATTTCATGACCTTTGTGTTCCTAAGGGCTGTCATTACTTTGAATTTACTATTCTTAAACTTCATAAAAAGAACTTTTTTTTTTCCTCCAGTGCTCTCTCTATAACACTCTGAATCATTATTTGTCTTGTGTTCAACTTTTCTCTCTCCCATTTGCTAATGCACTGAGCCTTCTGTCTGTGTTTCTGTCTTGACAGGGCAGTGACGAATGCTTCCCAAGCTAAAGCCCCCATGTCTACTGCTGGCCAGACAAGTCGAGGGGCAACCATGGTCAGTCCCTCCACTGCAGGAGTCCCTGCCCAGAAGCTTCAGGGAAATGGTGTGGCCGGAAATCCCAGTGCTGTCCCCACGGCCGTGGTGTCAGCAGCTCACATCCAGACAAGTCCTCAGACCAAGGTCTTACTGCACATGACTGGACAGATGACTGTCAACCAGGCCCGCAATGCTGTGAGGACAGGTGAGTGAACAGTACACAAGGCTGCAACATGTTAGGAGAAGGGCTTGCCTGCCTGTGATCAGACCTTTCATGACAGATGTTTAGGAAAGCAGATGGAACATTAAAATGACGAATAACATTAGGAAATGAAAGCAGACACAGTCTAGTCAACAGCACTTTATACAGTTTCTCTCAGCTAATGCCACCCTGCTCATTAATGCAAGTCTGATCTGCAGATCAGAAGCCTGAAAGAAATTAGGCTGATCCCAAGAATGTCAATAGTACTTGACAATATGACCTCTGGAATTAAGAACATATGATCTCAGATCTCACTTCTACTAGCTACATGACCACTTTGTGAATCTGTGTGATACCAGGGTGCTTGGCTGTTACTGATGAATTTAGTCATGGGCTATTGTCAACACAACAGGAGGTTAAATAGCTTTCTTATTTCTACCACATTAAAACCCTGTTTAATGTCTTAGGTAACAACTGTGAGATAAATGAAAGGCTTATGAATGCTATCAGGGAAAATGGCCATTAAGGAGAGAAACTAAATTCATTTTTGAGTCAATTCTAACTTGTGGCAGCCCTCCGTCAGGTTTCTAAAACTGTTTATCTTGACAAGGGAGGACTGCCTTATCATTCTCCTTTGGAGCAGCTGGGGAATTCAATCTGCTGACCAAAGGGATAATAATATAATGAGGTCAGGGGACTTTCCTGGTTGGACAGTATTGGGAACCATCAGAAGTTGGTGCAGTATCTCCAATGTTATGGAAAGGCTTCCTTCCTGCCTAACGGGCCTCGGCTTATAACTGAGCTTCAAGGCATTCAAGAGACTTAAGATCTAATCAGGAAGGAGAATAGCATCTAGGGATCCAGCTGAGATTAAATGCTTTTAAACCCCTGTACAAATCCATGCTTAATTGTAATAAATGTGAAAGCAGTGTTTTATTATGATCTGATGCAGTGCTGTGATTCCTCTTTTGATGAGTGACTTTTATTAGAAAATTGATTTTTACTCTCTGCTCCCTCCTGTCATCTCCTAGTTGCAGCACACAACCAAGAACGCCCAACGGCAGCTGTGACACCCATTCAAGTGCAGAACACCACCTGCCTGGGTCCCACATCTGTGGGTCTACCCCACCATCCCTTGGCCTCCCAGCAACCTCAGCCTCCAATGGCGGGCCCTGCCACCCATGTTGCTGCCATCAATATCAGTCGAGCCAATGTACCCCTGGCCTGTGCAGCAGCGACTTCACTGACCTCCCCAAATATCACCACTGCCTCTCTGGAGACCGAGCCCAGTGGTCGGACCATCCTCCCTGGACTGCCAACATCTCCTGACAGTGCTTCTTCAGCCTGTGGGAATAGTTCAGCCATCAAACCAGATAAGGATAGTAAGGTAGGACCAACTTCCTGTTTCTGTCATTCTCTCACTTCTCAAATTATTGTTGTTAACATCCTACAAATCAGCCTACAATGCATGGTGTCACCACGCACACGGGAATGAAATGCTATGCCATCCTCATGAGCAGTTGTGGACCTGACCTTTATGATCCACACAGTTTACTGGCCGATTTTCAAAAGCAGATCACCAGGCTTTTCTAGAAGCTTCACTGAAACCTGATCGGCATCATAGCAACACACAAGCCTCCACTGAGATACAAATGGTGACTGTGCCTGAGGTGTACTGAGTGGGAATTGAATCCCATCTCCATAAAGAGAGTTCTCCACTGACCCAGGGAGCTCTGGTGGCTTAGTCCAGAGAGAGTTGCGGTGCTAACCCCAAAGCAGAACCTCTTCGGCAGTTTGAGTCCACCAGCTGGCCAGTCTTCACACAAGTAATTTACAGCCTCCCAAAATGTGCTGGAGGATCATCTATGAGTGCGTTGCAACTTGACAGCAATGAGTTGAATTGTTAAGTTGGCCAACACTTTTGCTTATAGCTAATGTTGTGTCTCAAAGTTTTGCTAATGAAGACTCATTGCCTTTAATTGCCTTTGAGGCAAGTTATAGGAAACTCAGGCACCACCCTAGTGTCATACTTGGTTCTCGGTTTAAACACCGTGGCATTGCCAGGACCCTGTGTAGGATGTCAAGGAGATTGCATGATTAAGAAGTAGTCACTTCCATTCAGGAAGATTATAATCTAGTGGAAGAATTTGATTTTTTTTTCTCCTGCAGTTACTCATCTGTTCATCATTTTGTTCTCTTTTGTTCTTCTTGTTCAGTCAGTTTTGTTTCTGGTTAGCAGGTTTATAAAAAATATTTAATATATGAAGAGATTCAAACTGTTGAACAGACGTGTAATTTGTGGACGTGTTTTATTTGACCACAGTCAGCGTGGATGCTTAAGACAGAAGTTATTATTTTGAATTGAAATGTGAGGGAGAATGATTTTTTTAGATAGAGATTGTTTTATTTTAAATAAACGTCTTGGGGAAAATGTCAAAGTATAAAGGAATAACCATTTGAAAGACTAGCTTGTGGTTGGATATAGAGGGACGTGGTATGAAACAAGGAAAATTGTAATGATTAAACCTAAGTAGAAAAGGAGGAGTTGGGAACAAGGTCTGATTACTTGTATATAATTAGGACTTTTTTCCTAAGTATTTTATTCATTTTCTTTAAAGCTATAGTCTACTCCTGATAATCATAAACTTATAGCCACCTGCTTGAGTGGTAGTGTATGATATGTGACACTATTTAAATAGTTAGATAAGCCTGTAAATAAGCGTTTATAAGGAAATAAACCATATAGCTTACTTAAAAGTTAATATTTAATTGTGAAATAACATGAGAGTAAAAAAAAAAAGTAATTGGCATTATTCAGTGCTTATAACTAACTACATTAAGGTTGTACCCAAGTTGGCACTTTCCATTTTGGTGGGTTGCCAGCAATTTGACGGCACATAACAACAACAGTACCTTTGAAAGAGTAATTTTACAGTTTTATTTTACAGTTTGGGGACAGTGAGTCTCGAGACCTTTGTTACTGATGAGAATAGGGTCTTTTTGGTTGCCACCTTCCTACCAATGCAGAATCAGTTCAGTTTCAGAAAAGAAAAAACCTCCCCCTCCCACCTCCCACAAAGATATTCTACACTTAATGCCTGAAACCTAAGAGTATGTTATTTCCTATAGCAAAAGATGAAACCTTAGTGGCACAGTGGTTAAGCCCTTGGTGGGCAACTAAAAGGTTGATGATTGGCATTTTGCAGGTGCTTAATAGGGGAAAGATGTACTATTCTGCATATTGTAATATCATATAAAGATGTACCATTATGCTTCCATAAAGATTTAAAGCCTTTGAAACCCTCCAAAATGGTTCTACTTGGCCCTGTAGGGTCACTATGAGTCAGAATCAACTGTATGGCAATGGGTCTATAGCAAGCATGGCCTGGACATGAGAAGGATTATCTAGATGAATCTAATGTGATCATAGAGTCCTCAAAGAGGAGAGATAGAAGGCTAGAGACAGAGGAGGTAAGATGTTGGCAGCACTGTCTGGAAAGACAAAACCAAGACCCTGAGCCATGAATACGAAGAGCCTCTAGAAACTGAAAGTGGCTAGGTTCTGCCCAACATTTGCCAACAAGTTTGTGGCTCTACCAGTATCTTTTTTTCCCCTTTCTATCAGTATCTTTTATGATTTGATTTTTTTTCATAAATTTGCCATAATTTGTTACAGCAGTTGTGGGAACTAATAATAGAACCTGAAGAGTCATCAAGTTGAGTACCCATCATGACCGATGACCACTGCCAAGCCATAGCTCTAGGTCATCCCCTGCCATATTCACACAGGTCTGGCACTGGGAGTTTACTGATTACAGTTTACTGTTACTCTGTACTTTGAATCCTTGTTCTTTTTGGGGGTAGGGAAGACATACAGTAAATGCCAATTAGTTTTCTTTGTGATTTCTCTTAAGATATTTGTGGGATTATCCCTTTTTAAATTTTTAAGGCTACACACTTATTGTTTTGGGTTTTTTCCCACCTAATCCTTTGTCACAAATTTTACATTTTCCTTTCCTAACTCTGTTACTTTATTTGCTGTTCCAAGTACACTGTGGAGACTTTTCTTGGTTGGTATATAGTCAGTGATTCTATGATTGTCATCACTCAGTCTTGACTCCTCATCACCAGCATTTCATTTGGCCCAAGTTTCTCCATCACATTCATAAGATACCAGAGTTCACATGCCATTGCTGAAATGTCTTCCACATCCTCCCTTCCAAATAGCTACCTCAGTTACCTCATCATTTCTGCTGTTACTTATTCTTAACAGGCTTCTCCTGGAGGAGCTCCTGCTCAGAATCTCATTTTCTTTCCAAAGTGCTCATAAAACTTTCATTTAACACTCTCCCTAGAGCCTCTGTTTTAGAATTTTCCAGACAGTCTGCGAAGTTCATTGCTGTCTTCTTTTTTGCAAGCCAGGAATACATGTGCCCCTTCTGGGCCTTATGTAAACCCTCATCCCACATCTATCTGGATCTCTCAAAGATGATTGATTGCATTTTAAAAAATTATTCAGGTGAAATATAGCAAAATGAAACATTTTAAGTGAATAGTTCTGTTTAGTGCATCCATAATAGTATGTAAACAATTATGTTTTAGTTCCCAAACATTTCTATTTATTGACTGTATGTTGACTCTTAGTTCTGTCTGTTCTCTGAAGTGAAATGTGTCTATCAAGAGAAGTAGTTTGATCCCTATGTTTCAGGCACTTCACCTGTTTTCATTTTATGAAGGTTTGTTCTTCCTTTCCAAGTCTAAAGATTATTCTTCCCTTCTTATTTTCTCTGAATCATCATCCACCCCAGGCAGTAGGTTTCTATCTTTCTTGTATTTTTGGTTTCAAGCATAACATTTCAAGTTAACAATTCTGTTTATACGTCCACATGGTTTGTGAACAAATTTTAACTCCCAAACATTTCTGTTGATTTCAAATATAACTTTAAAACCACCCTTTTTGTCTTTAACAGTTTTGCAAATTTAAACTCATTCTAATCATTAGCCTTCTTGAACTGCCATGGGCCATGATAAAATCTTTGCTGTGAGCCCAACTCATGATCTTTTGTACATGTCCTTTCAAAACCCATTAGGCTGCTCCATGGAGGAACCTATAGATAACTCCACATTTTCATCTCCTGAAATAATATGGGATTGTATAATTAGATTTTTACTTTTGAAATCCTTCCCATTCTTCTTGATTCATCTTTACTTTTTACTTTCAGGTCATGCATACATTTTCTTTGAACTTTCAAAATCGATCCTTTTAAGTATACAAGTTAAAATCTAACTACAGTCAGTTTCTTCCGGTGCTTTCTTCCAAGTCCTCAATATTTCAGATATACCAGCCAGACCCTTCCACCCACTAACTGGTCTCTACTAACCCTAGTTGATCAGAACTAGGTTAACTCTGAAAGTTTGCTGCTTTTTCTGTGAGATTAAATTATCAGCAAATCAAGGGAGAAATGCATCAAAAATTCTAGTTTTAAGCAGATACTTTCCAGAAAATATCTAGGGAGTGTCTCTCTCTCTCTCTCTCTTTCACCCTCTCTCTCTCTGACCAACACATACAAACTCGCATACACCCCACACACAGAAGATTCTTTCAGCTGTTTTCGTAACTGTCTATTCTTTTTGAACCTTATTTTAGTTGAAAGTTCTACCTCACAAGGTTCTTGTAGTTTCCAGAAAAGCTGGTTTTGAGTTCCTCAATTAAAATCTCTCGTTAAGTTTGATTATCTTTATGCTTTCAAAACATCATCTCAGTTTTGTTTAACCAGTAGAACATTTTATCTGGACATTCTAAAATTTCACACTTAATTAAAAATATGTGTTGTTTGATCATCTAGTCTCTAAGCAGGGAGCTCTGGTGTCCTAGTGCAAAAGGAGTTGTGCTGCCAATCCAAAGGCAAGCAGTTCAAATCCACCAGCCGCTCCACAGGAGTTGGATGGATAATCTCCTCCAATGTGATTCACAGCCTCTGAACCCACTAGAGGGTCATCTCTGAGTTGGTTCAGACTCGGCTGTACACAACAACAGTAACAACAATGTTCTGATTACAAAGAACCTTGGTAGCATCAACAACAAGCATGTTGTTGTTAGGTGCCGTAGAGGTGAGTATGAACCATAGCAACCCTGCAAATTACAGATCTGACCCTGAACTCTCCTATTCCATCCTCACACCTCCTCACACCTCCTGACACACTAGAGCTCTAGAGCTCATTGCGACAGTCACGGTGTCAATCCACCTGGTTGAGGGTCTGTCTCTTGTTGACCATCTACCTTTCTGAGACTCGTGTACCTCTCCAAGGAATAGCCCCTCCTAGCAGCACGCTTGAAGTATGTGAGGCAAAGCCCCATCATCTTTGTTTCCAAAGAGCACTCTGGCT